TGGGGGGGGGGGGGGGGGGGACTCCAGAGAAACGAACATATATGACGTTTCTCAGGGACAAAATCGATATGTGAGGCTTCCCTAAATTGTATGAATGTATTCATTATTAATTAATTTTTGTTCTCGTAATGTAAATTGTAGTAAAGTATTAATCGTAGAAGGGTATAGAAGGGTATTGTAGATGGCGATTATCGAGTGGAAATTTATCTACATATTTATTAGACCTAACCAGGACTGAGCTGCGAAAAATGCAACTTTAGGTCCCTGACAGGAATCGAACCTGCGCTCCTGTGATTCCGGCGCAGCCAGGTGACCTAAAGTTACATTTTTCGCAGCTGTTCCTGGTTAGGTCTAATAAATGTATATAAATTTCCACTCGATAATTTCCATCTACAATACCCTTCAACTATTTACTAATTTAACCTTATAACTAAAATTTTGATCTAGACAAGTCTGGACAAAAATTTCATCACAGCTTGAAAGTGCATCACAAAATTAGTAATATTCCGAAGTTTCGTTGCGAAATGTTGTAAAATGCGGATAATATAGCCTTGCGAAGTTTGCAATTTTCAGTCATTTTAGATTACAAACGGGAAATTGATACCCAAACTCCGATTTGGGTGACTGAAAATTGCAAACTTCGCTGGGCTATATTATCCGTATTTTACAGCATTTCATAACGAAACTTTGGAATATTACTAATTTTGTGATGCTCTTTCAAGCTGTGATGAAATTTCTGTCTAGATCAAAATTGTAGTTATAAGGTTGAGGATCCATTGAGTGAGATGCCAACAAAATGTTGATATTTGTAGCACTACCTTTTATTGTTTGTACTGAATATTGTAAGATTGTGAATGCCGTAATGTTAGATAACTATGGTTAATACGCTTCCCTCATAGTGAAATACAGTTTTCACTTGCTTTACTTCGTGAAATCCGCAGTTAACGAACAAACTCCAAATAATCGATAATTGGGAAAACTGACGAGAGAAGTAATATATTCGAAAGCTTCGGTGCGGATATAGTAACCCTGCAGCCGCTCTTTGTGATGGCATATTTGATACGTCTCGGAGTCACCAAAAAATAGTCAACTGGCAAATAATGCCTATAGGCTATAAAAGTCAAATTGATCCATAACATTGTTCGACTTACTTGTCATCATTTACTTTACCCTGATTATCTGTCGGGGCACAGTCAATTTTCACTTTTTCAGCGGATGTGGTATATAGTAAGGGAATTTGAAGCCAAATTCAAAAATTGAAATACAATCAGTGTCTCTTTTAACATACCGAAACACCGAGGGGACACAAGCCCTCCCCCAAAAACGAAAATGCTCCCTCCCTAGTAAACTATGTTGGCTCCTCCACGAAGGAACTATTTCGTTGTTTTAATAGAGTTTAATATACCCATGGACTGGCTTCGCCTGTGCGTGGCTTGATGAAATATATCATAAAGTTGTGTCTGAAAATGGAGGAAATCAAGCCCCAGGAGGAGGAATCAAGCCCAATGGAGGAAATCAAGCCCCCCCCCCCCACACACACACTTAGCTTATTACTGAAGAGTCCCTGCATGGATACAGTATATCATCGGTTCACAAATGACAGTCACACTGAGATCACATGACTACTTAGCGTGCCCACCTACAGGCTACAATCACGAGCAACCCGATATACGTTGGTGAGAAGCGGAACTTGCAATGTAAACACATAGATCGCGGTCAAGACACAACATGGCTCATGCAAGATTTGTATTTTTGTTTTTTGCTTTCCTCAGCGTATATTCGATTACGGTAATTATATTCTTGTTTGTTAAATTGTTCTGTGTAATTTCTTCATAGAGTCTACAAGTGTAAGACTATACATGAATGCAGTGACAAACTTTATAATATGCACATTAGCAAAGTGATATTTATTCAAAGTCAAGTTTATTTTCAATTCCAGCCACTACAGCAACTTTAACTTAATTAGAAAGACTGAACTGTCATGAACTGTAAAATGCAATTATAGGAACTCGATTAATTAACAATTATACCATGTCTATGACTATGAGCTCGACTGAGTCGTATATGAGCTGATATGCATGCTTTTAAACTCTTGTGCACTTTGTATATCTAGTTGGAGAGTATACTAAAACAATTAAACAACTTCATGAATCATGGTTGTAATTATTTGGTAGCCGATTAGACAGATTTAGATCGAGGACGCGGATGTCAAAGATGATATGAAAATGGCATCAAAATGGCGTGGCATATCCATACATGGGCACAACACGCCATTTTCACGTCGTCTTTGACGTCTTCGATCTAAATCTGTCTATTATGAGGGATACCGGAGAATCACTTTTCGCTCTACGGAAAATTAGGACGCGATGGGCAAGCACAATGAATTATTTTGTTAGGTTCATTATATTTTCTAGTTTTTTTGCTGAACTTACTGAAGGGGCTGTATCTGGGTTATATGTCCCGTTGTCCGCTAGCCCGGTTATACCGGGGCTGACTCGTTTCAGGAAAATATTTCCTTTGCGATCGGAGAAAATTTTGACTTAAAGACAAGTTTACAACTAACCTAAACAGAATATCAACTTTATTTAGGAAAGTCTTGAAGCTGCTGTGCATGGAAGACATTAATATTTTTCACTCATCGTATAAAACACTAACTCGGCGTAAACTCGCTGCGAATTATATACTTGCACGCGTGCATGATGCATCGATCTGAAATGCATGACAATGCTTGGCAGTCAGTCATTCTAAACAAGTATTAATACTCTCAACAAGTTTTTGAGTTGAAGCTTTTGCATTGCGATGTATGGAAATTAAAGCGGCTTTAGCTAGCCCTTTATAGGTCTTTATAGATAAATAATGGTCAGATAGTGCGTAGCCTATCGAAGGGAAGATAGCTATGAAACTCGTTAAGGCCCATACATACAGACCGAACGAACTGTGATTCCGAATTAATATTTGAAAAACATAGAAAAATATTAAAGTTAAATGTCATTGAAAATTGAAAATTCACGTCGCGTTGCCAAACGCGTCCGGTCTCTGTATGACACGGTACTAAAATGTGGTGCCCTACAAATAAAACTTCCGGCGTTTCCACCTACTGCCTACAAGTAAAATTATATTTAGTACGCTACATTTTCCTGTCGACCGCCACGCATACCAGTTGGTTAGTCTTCCACGCAGCCGCTCTTTGTGTCACCAGTTGGTCCGTACGTTAGGATTAAAACTGCGCTTTAAAACCTTCAAAATAAAATATGTTGTGCCAATCAAAATACTGTCAAAATGAAGAGAAAAGTGAGACCAAAAACGAGGAAACCAACGATACCAAAGTTATCAAGGATCAAGCGTACGACATTTTTAATTAGTTTGGTAATTTTTAACGATTGGTCAACAATAGAATTTCGCTTGACTTTCACTAGGCGGAATTTTGCGCGCGGAGCGGAATTTTTCTTTGTCTTGTGATTTCTCGGGTGGAACTAATTAGAAAAGACAGAGAGAAATTCCGCTCCACGCGGAAAATTCCGCCTAGCGGAAAACGGCCCTTAAATCGCCAGAGTACTGTTGTTTTGTAATACATTTGACATCCGTAAGTACAATTTCTTTCGCTGAATTGAAAAGTAGTATTTTTGTCCTTATTTTAATGGGCGCGTAAACGCCAACCGCGTACCCATGGTTCTCTTTGTGCTGGCCGCGAGAACCCTGGGTACGAGGTTGCAAAAGGCCCGGTCACACTACACAACGATAACGATACGATAACTTGTATACGCGCGCTGATTGGTCAAAAATATATGGCTATCGTCCGGACTGAAAAAAAATCGCTCGGCCTCGGGCGAACGATTTTAAAATCGTTAAGTGTTATTTTTCACATTAAAAAGGTTGGCCATACATTGCGGAGGTTCATTGGTGTGTTTGACTTTTTGTTGCGCGTTATATCTGGTTTTAAGGCCCGGTCACACTACATAACGATAACGAAACGATAACTTGTACACACGCGATGACTGGATGATTATGTTAGTATCCACACTACAACGAAAATGATAAAATTATCGTTTGACGATAACGATGGTATAAACTTCGTAGTAACAATATCGATTTCTCACTGGAAATGCCAAGAACTAATATGATGAAAAGAGGTATAAGTTATTCAGCTGCAAGCTTATGTAATCGATTACCTGGACCTGGGTTTGCGAAATTAAGTAATGTTCCACTACATAGATTTAAAGCTATTCTCCGGGACAGTTTAACTTTAGGGGCGGACCATTTGACTTTTGAGGGGGGTGGGGGGTGGAAGATTTCGAAATTTCCTGCAACCCAAGGAGAAAGAAAAAAAAATCATGCAGCACACAATCGAGAAAAAAAAATATCATGCAAAAGGGAGCGCTCAAAAAAAAATTTTCTACATGTAACTCTACTGATGCTCTTCACTTCACTATTGTGTCCACAAGCTTGCAAGATTTTGCATTTTTGAGCAGGCACATTTGCTTAAAAGAACACGGGGTGAACAGTGGATAACATCACAGGGATTCTACCGCCTTTGGAGGCAAAATTGTTGCCCCCTGAGAAAATCTGGGCTTAAGATAATTATGTAGAAGTTTATATCTAATATGCTTATATGTTTATATCAAATATATATCTAATATGCATGGTAGAAAAAGTATTTTTGGATGGTTGAGTCTGTGCGTTTTTTGATAACATAGCTCCAAACTATTAAAGCTTCAAAGGCCCATCTACAGGATGCAAGTTGAACGTACTGTATATACGATGATTTTAATGCGAAAATGCCAGTTTAGAGAGTCTAGATTTTAAAAAAATTCTGAAGAGGATGCAACCCGATCCCCAACAAGCTATCTGTATGAACGATTGAAAAGCTACAGAGCTATATTTGGTGGAACATTGTTGTTTCGGAGGGCAGTTAAAAATTGCATTATTGATATCTTGTTTTATTACATATTAATCAAAGCTCATTTTGTGATTTTCCCTTGTTTAAAATAAGGGACAGTAAGTGTTCCTTAGGCTTAGTACAGCAAAGTTGTTGTGGACGAATCCATGGCTGAAAACGCAGGAAATAGCATTTCCGAGGTTCAAATTTTAAAATTTTCTCGGGGGAGCATGCCCCCGAACCCCCCAAGGTTACAGGTCATTCATATACTGTACCCTCCCCCATTTTCGAGTACTCTACTCTATCCCTGCATGTTTTAGGTTTTGGTGCAGTTATACATTCTTTGTAAGTAAACTTGCACGCTTTAGTGTGGGGAACATTAAGACATAACCATATAAAATAAAGCACAGTGAAAATTCCTTGGCCCCTCTTGAGATTCAGTTCTCGGCCTCCTCTGACTGAAAACCCCTGCTACGTCTCCGATGATAGCTATATGAAAGCCTAAAGTTACTGTAAGCCGTTATTATGAGAGGCAAAAAAATATCCTGCCGCCAAATATATTGGGAAAAAATATCTTGCGCTGCACTTTTACAGGAAAAAATATCTGTCTTGTTCGTCTGGGCGGAAAAAAATTCTTGCACAGACTGAATCTTCCCCCCCCCCCCTCAAAAGTCAAATGGTCCGCCCCTTAGTTAACTTGATTGTATGACTTGTAAATAGTTAGAAAGTGTGTAATTTTAATGATTTGAGTATTTAGTATAGTTCTTTTTAGTTAAATAGTATAAGAGTGTAAATAGGTGTGTAAACGGCCCCTTGAAAAGCAACTCCCTACGCAACCTTGTACCCAGGATCTTGCTCCCTACGTGGGTTGATTACCGTTTTTTAAAGATGATGAAATAATAATAATAATAATAATAATAGTAATAATAATAATAATCCCTACGTGGGTTGAAGGGTTACCGTTTTTTAAAGATGATGAAATAATAATAATAATCGTGAGAGTAAGTGGGAAGGAAACTTTCCTTGAAAACGTGAAAGGATTATTTTGAGCGACTTGTCAAAGGCCATAAATCGCTAGGATAGAAGTAATTTTGAAATCAATTTTAACTCCATAAATACACTTTTTGTACGCTGATTCGAACAGTGGTATTTTTATTCTTGTTTGGCGCCTAAAACCTGAGAGATAAAGTCCAGCAAACAGTCGGTCCTGAGTGTCCAAGATTAATTAATTTTCCCGCAAAAATGAATAAATTCAGAGCACGTGCAAGGAATTTTTACTAGGCGATTAAGGAAACATATTGATCCGAACAAACTAACAAACAAACTAACAAACTAACAAACTCACAGGCAGAATATAAAGCGATGTCAAACTTGGCACGGGCACCGCAATAACAATATAACTCATTATCTATGTTAGTCAACGTTTATTCATAAATCTGCATGGTCCTTCACCGTCATATGCGTATGGTATGTTTGCCCAACTAACCAATAGCAATGTTTTAGGAAAGTTACCTAACCTTGACTCGAACAATAGGGTAAATTGGAAATTGCTATTGGTGGATTGGGCAAAAATACAATACACACGTGACGGTGAAGGACCGCATTTATGAATAAACGTTGACTAACATAGATAATGAGTTATTATATATGTTATTCTAATGAGTTTCACAGCCATCTTCCCTACGACAGGCTATGGATAGTGCCAATAACATTAGTGATTTACTCTGATGTTGATGTGCGCTTACAAATCGATAGCTTAATTGGCCAAAGGCAATAGCTGAATGCGTTTCTTCCACAAGACAGTGTCAATTATTGTCGTACTGGTAATTTTATTAAGTATAATATTTGCAACCTACTCAAAACATACTTCATGTCCACTCTTGTTAATTTAACTAGGCTCAAAAGACCGTTTGCAATCATGAATCGTATCCTCCTCCTGCCAAGTAAGAAGTTAATGGTTTTTTGGGATAGACTAATCCGATTGGAATGTGACACAAGAATGAATCCCCCCCCTCCTCCTCTACACCAGTTGGCAACTTGTCAATTGCAACACATTTTCTGAAGGTTAGATAACCCAGATTGCACTATAAAGGTTTTGGCGGCTACCTTATTTATAGGCCTACCCCCTTATTGTCTTGTCTTAATGTTTTGTCTTTTGTCCTGTCCTGTCTTGTCCTGTCCTATCTTCACCCAGAATAGCTTTTAAATCCAGAAACCCATGCATATACATTTTTCCATTCCGTATCCGCTAAAATCACAAATCCCGCACCATGATTTCTCTTGATAGCGTGACGGCCCGTCCACATAATACACCACGTGTAAATACATGAACATGCGGCTAAATTATCGTTTTTGCACGTAATCATTCAGAGATAAAGTTGATACCGTGGTAATTAACCTGGATCTGGAGCCAGAAGAAAGATGGCAAGATATAACTGTGAAGAAGAAAGCAGAAGTAAATATTAGTACATTTTTCAATGTGTTAAAGAAGGATGTTTATAAACACCGCACAGAAAGAAAATTCCCTCCTAATTTATAAATGTATCAGCATGAGATCTAAACAAATGAATCCTTGATAATCACATCTACAGTAGCACTATCAGGGTTTTTTTCAGGATTTTCTCTTGGGTCCGTTTTTGCAGAGAAGATCGAGTTTAGCTGAAAAGCTGTGGGTCTCCTCCTCTCCTACCGGGAGGCTGAAACCTGTACCCACTTTTAATAGTGTAGTTGAGATACAATGTGTTAAAGCGGGGACACTAAGGGTCACTATAAACTGGTTAAAGACGGTGAATGCGTTGTGTTGTGAAATGAATTCCAGCCATTTTTCACTTAATTTTTGGGTTTTCAACTAAAACCTAATTTGCACACGTCATGAATTTAACTCAACCAACTTCATTTTACTGCACAGTATCTTTTGATGAGAAGATTGAGTTTCAAAACTCAATTCAAAATCCCTGAAAAAAAAACCTGACTATAATTAGACCTATTGGTATAGTTTGCTTATATAATGCTGCATGAAAAATGAGTCACTCATGCTTGAAAGAATGACTTAACCTCCATTGAATATAAAAATACCCAATTGCAGAATTAACATGTTGATTAACGCCCACACAGGGGCAGAGTAGTCACTGAGTGCTTGGCTGGTGAGGCTATAAAACGAATGGTGTGGCTGGCAACTGGCCAGATCTCAATTAAGCAAACTACCATAAGGCAAAATAGTGCTAGGTGTGACTATCAGGGATACGGGATACCTTAGGTATACCCAGGGACGTAGCAACCCAAAAGAGGGAGACTGAGACCTGCAGGTGAATTTTGAACATTGAAATTCAAATTTCAGGTAAAATCCTCCACCCCCCCCCCCCCGAACTTACAAAAAAATGTCCCGGTATATATAGACGAAGGAGCTAATTTGAAAGAACACTGGCCTAAATAAAAAAAATTGGCACAATATTTGGAAAACCATTTCTAAATAAATCAAGTATCGAAGAGAAACGATCTCCATGTTTTCTAAAGCTACTTTTACCATAGATATCTTATATACACTAGATAGTGCATCTAATTATTTTACAATTCCGCAAAAATTGAAGCCGTGATTGCAGTCGACTCAGGATATTCCCATGAAATGAGAAGATTCATTCTGTTTTCTATTTCTTAAAGACGGAACTTAAATATTAATTAAGGTAAATCTATTCCAAATACATTTTTAAACTATTCAAATGATGAAAGTTATTGTTGTTTTTTAAGCGTTTATTAGCGAGTGGGAAACACCAACATGGCCGCCATCTATTCAAATGGGGGTAAGCGCATTTTACCGCTGGAATATTCTTGGCTTCAATTTTACAAAAAGAGATGCGCTATCTAGTGTATATAAGATATCTATGACTTTTACACACAACGATTAATCGGGCCGATTTCAGGTTTTGCCGAATGTTAATGACGATTGGTGTCTGTTGCCGGACCATGTTGTCAGATGAAGTTGACAGAGTATTTTCCAAATATCATTTAATTAAAGCTGAATCAGACCAATTAATCGTTGTGTGTAAACGTACCTTAAGGCTCATTCATGCATATCAAATCGAGAATATGGCGGAGTTCAGCGTATATGCACACCGGAAAGTCGAGTGCGTTCCAGCTTCGCCTGCTTGGCTTTTATTTCCTCAATGGTATACTGGTACTTCTAATATGGATGAAAACTATTAAATAGCTTTGTATTATGTAATGTTTTTACTATACCCAAAACTAGCTAGCAAACAATTTGAGGATAGTATATATGTTTGAAATGAATGTTTCATTTCATATATTTCAACTGTCATAGATACTTGTTTTGGTGAAAGAAATTAAGAACTTCACAAGTTTTATTTTGGATGGAAAGCTGTTCGAGTATATCGACAAATATATGGTATGTTCTAATTATTAAGATCGTTGATTATCCTGCGGTCTTGAAATTTCTTAGGTAGGACATAGTTATGCGATTTAATTTCTGTTTCTCGGTTTTAAACGAATAGCTTTCGCTCGAACTGTCACAGACTTGCTTATGCTATTTTCAGGTAGTTATAGATATGGTTAGATCCTTTAATAACTAAGCTCGTGAATATATTCACGGCCGGAATCGTAGGCCTTTCCCAAGAGGGTCTTTGCTAAAGAGGATGGACGAGATGAAGGTTTTCAAGATAGCGGCTATTTTTCTAGCCTGTGTTACAGACCTTACAATTAGTAAGGCCGTCTATGGACCTTGGCACGATTGCTTGTTCCTGCATAAATTAAACCCCCAGTTTGATTTATTCAAATTTGGCATAAAATTATTCGTTCGCATTATCGAAATTTGAGGTAATTTCAGTGAACTATTTTGGTATTTTGCATCGATTATACATTGTTCTAGTTTTTTATTGTCCGAACGTTCGAAATATACCTATGTGATTTTGGATATGCATGGTTTAATAGTGTACCATTTAAAACACGAACAGGAGTACTTTTTTCAGATATAAAACACTTTGAGCCTTTCTGATAAAGCACGGACTTGGAGTGTTTTAAATGGTTTTAAAAACGATCCATCATATGAGTTCATTGGCGATGTACATATAAAAATCAACGTCATCTAAGCAGAGAAAACCAAAGCTAAAGTTTGCGCAACGTGATTTTTGATCACATATAAAACCATGCACCGACACGGTAGTGATTTCCTTTGTCTTTTTTTTCATGAATTATTGATAAGTTTTTAGTAATGTATATTGTTGATTAATTAATTACTGATTTTCATGAATACGCCACATAATACGCCAGATAAGCATAACTATTATCCTTTTGAAGTTGGATTTCTTTTCTGGTACTGCACATACCCTGATTGCAACTAAGCAGAGAAGACTCATGATACAAGCAATGAACAAGCGCATTGCATGGATGCCAGTTATTATGCTGGCAGGCTTTTTGACTCTCTTTGTATACGTATACCGCAAGTACTGTGGTTGTACTGCTTGACGTTATTGATATTTGTTATGGAATTTATATAGTATAGTTAACTGTAAAATACGCAATTTTTGATTGGTCAACTTTAACTACCTTATTACACAACAGCACGCTGGTCTTTCTGTTTCTTGCAGCCGATGCTTGTACATTCGTTACCTGATCCATATGGCCGTGAAATCAAAGGGATTTCTTCTGCTACTGGTATTCCACTAGGTAAAATTTATAATTGTTTAAAACTATATCGTATATGGTTTGTTTTCAAAATCTAAAACTCGTGCTGCAAAGAAACGTGCTACATGTTGTGCTTGTGATTACATAAATATAGAATACATGAGCAAAAGTCTCACAGCTTGTCAGCATGATCTGTTCGCACTGTTTGTTTCTAGTTGTTGACAAGTCTGGAACAAGTTGTTATCTTAGGTGATCGAACAAGGCCAACTCAACAGACTCGCAACAAATTGTTCCAACAAGTCTGATATCGTCTACAAGGAACAGTGTGTTAACAAATTGATAAGATCAAGCTCGTAGCAACTTGTTACTGACAGCCTGTAATATACATGCATGTATATTACACACGTAAAGATTTCACGATGTGTTCGCAACAGGCTTGTGGCAAGCTTGCCAACAAGTTGTAACAATGCTGTTATTTTTTTAAGTTGCTACAAGGTTGTCATTCACAACGTGTTGACAAATTGTTGAATCGCAGGACGATAACAAGTTGTTGGAACAAGTCTGTTGAGTCAACAACCTTGTAGCAAGCTGTCAACAAGCCGTTGACAACTTGTCAACAAGCTGGGAACAAGCAGTGCGAACACATCCTGTTGACAAGTAGTTGGAACAGTATTGCTACAAGTCTGCTGCAGGTTTGTTTACAACTTGTGCGTTTTTACGTGTGTACCCTTGTTAAAACAACTTGTAGCAAGTCTGTCACCGTCATCAACCTAGTGAAAAGATGATATAACAATTTGTTCCAGACTTGTCAACATGTAGTGCGAACACCATCCTGATATCCCCTTGACAACAACTTTGTCACAACTTGCTTACAGATCTGTAACAACTCGCGCGCTTTTACGTGCACTTCATGCGTGGTTTGTGAGTGCACGGCATGACCATGTTCAGATATGCCAGGTAAAACCTTGCGGCCCCGCGCTTTTGGGGGCCCCGCGCTTACTCTTTCGATTAAAGTGAACCAAGGTTATGATTAACTTGAACCATGGTTACGATCAACTTTTTGAATTAGATTGAATGGTAATGGCAATGACATTGAAAAGCATTACCAAAGTTTGCCATCCAAGTGGAATGGTTATGCTGATAATACTCAAAGGCATAACCATCCAAGTTGAATGGTTATGCCGATAATATACAACGGCATAACCATCCAAGACGTCGTTACCATCCAAATACAATTTGAATGGTAATACCGATAATATTCAAAGTATATCCGCGGGCAACTTTCCAATTCACGAAATACAAAAGGATTTTTGAATCTTTCTGAATTCAGTGTTTAAAATGTCTGGCCGGAGGCGGGGGGGGGGGGGGGGGGG